TACATATAAAATGGTCCATATACTGGAAAACATCTTTACAATTACTACTATGTTAGCCTGCCTGTTTGCTTCATTCCTATTCCCAATCTCAAAGGAAACAAATCTCAATGCCCAGTCATCCTTCCACTGTCTTGGGACTACTAGCAACAGTTTAATTACGAGGTCAAATTCTGTGATACAACCACAAACTCACTACTGCGTAAACTCCCAGCAGTGACTATATACTCACCCCATATGCAACTCCCTTTCTACTTTTTTTCAGGGATCTAGTATTTTTCCATTTACTGTCTAGCTCTCTACCCAGTCACTGTTTAGCAAAGCTATATGTACCAACTTGAAAAACCTCACAAGCCATTTCCTCCACTCTCTTTATAATCCTATTTCTTATATGAATTATTTCAAACTATATTGACATTTTTCAGTATCAAGATGCCAGGAACTATATATAATCTTTGGGATACAGAAGAACCAATTGCTAACAGATATAGGTAGCACCTTTCCAATAACTGCTCTGAAGAGACACTGAATATAATAGTATCTAACAGTTTAGTTGGTCTAAAAGCAAGAACACTTTTATACTCTCTCCTCTATAAATGCATAAAAAGTCTTAGTTGCTTGTTATAACTAAACATCAGTGGGAGTCTTCTGATCTTTTTTTTTTTTTTTCAGAATAAAGAAGTACGGCACTTCAATTTTAACTAAAGAAGCTTTCTGAGGGAAATGGGCACAGTAACTTATTTCATTCTCCACAGAGTCAATTATACAGCTTCAATTTACCTTGCACCACAATCAGGCAATACTAGCTCTGTGCTCCAGTCTAGTGCTAGGCTTTGAAATCTCAGGAGCTCAAGTCAAAAACTTAATCTAATTTCTGCTCTGTGGATATTTTTTCTCTCAACTATAAAGGAAACGTTACACAATGACTAGTACACAGCTCAAAACACAGCTCAAAGCTGCCATCTCTAGGTATTACGTTCTATTACTCTTCACACTAAATTATTTTCTCTGTTTTTTCAAGAGACTGAAAACTGAAAGGAAAAATATCAAAAGTTTATCCTAACAAGTTAATTTAAGACCTTATTTCAAAAGGATGCACTTTTTCACTTGAAATTTCTTCAGCTTACATGATCAGTTCCTTTTGGTCCATGTAATTTTTGACATTTGACGTAATCACTAGTACAAGCAACATATTAGTTAACTATTTGACATGAGTGGTGCTGTGTTCATTATTAGTGAATTCTAATTACTAATTAACATGTGCCTTTGACAACAGCAACAGCTTCTTCACTACACACTTCCTTGTAGCTTTAATATTAACAGGAGTTGCATTTCCTCACTGAGATCCAAAAAGATCTCTGAATTAATACAGGTCTATTATATTTAATATTTGCTGGTAAAAGTATCTCTAAAATGGTTACCCTTTAGTCTGGAATATCTCAAGAAAATACTAGCACTGTCAAATAAAAAGGTTAAATTATATTTTAAGCCTTTATTCTGAGCTGCTAAATGATACATTACTTGAATATTTCCCAACCAGAAGGTCCACATTCTACAAGAACTGTAATAACCATAGATACTGGTTAGAAGGATCTGCCCTTTCAAAGAACCGATAATACATTAGTAATGAATCAGGGAACTGATGAGAAGAAAAGCAATTTTTGAGTTGATGTTGGGGCATGCACAGAATCTAGTTCATATTACTACTGAAAAACATCTCCGGAAGAGCAACAGATGCCAGCGGAAAAAAAAAAAAAAAATCTACCCAGTCCTACAATTCTGCTTAACTTCAAAAGGAGCACTATATAAAAGGAAGACCAATCATAAAAAGAAACCAACAGCAACAACCAACAGCAACAACCAACAGCATAAAATCTGTAATGACAATATGAAGACATTTTAAGGACATCTGCTCAGACCACATGAATGTTTCCTATTTAAGAAAAACAAAACTTCCCATTACAAATAACAAAATAAATAAATCTTAACTTAACAGGAGGATAATGGCGACTGTTAGAAGAAAAAGTGTACTTCAAAATAAAGGCTCAAAAACTCCAGCAGATTAAAACGCAGAAACATATAAAGGCAAGCCATGAAGCAGTTTAATGAGCTGCCTGCAAAATTATATATAAAGCACTAATACATCATTTTTCAAATGCATTAGAAATACAGCCAGCTAGATAATTTGTGGTGCCAACAGACAGTCTGAAGAAGTATTCTGAGAAGATAAAGCCAGAGCAATAAAATGAAGTTAATTTTCCCATGTGAGTTCTTCATGGTAGACTTTACAGGTATTTCCATAACAGAAATTAATACAGAAGGTTATAGTAAAAAAAAAAAACAACCAAACAAAAAAAAACCAAAAAACAACCTAACAACAACAACAACAAACACCACTGACAAACTAATCAGCAACAAGTCACCAGGATCAGTTCTGAAGGAATTTAAGAACAAAACAGCTGACCCATGTCTGTAGTGTGTAACTCCCTCCTTAAAAATGCATCAGTACGAAGAGACTGAAAAGCAACAGACAGAAAGGACAGAATTCAGTGAACACATGGATGAGACAGACAGACTGAGGAAAAGTCTAACAACTTTTGAAAACAGAAGTTATATCCTGCAAATCATTGGATTTTCCTGAAGGAATCAAAGGTCTGGTTGATACAGTTATCTGGAATTTCCAAAAGATGCTTGATAATATTCCTCATGCCTTGAATAAAACTAAACTGCTCTGGGAGGAACAAGGCAGATAACACAAGGGTAAATAATTTGATAAAGAAAAGTTTGGGAAAAAAATGCTCACTTCTTAAATGAATAGAGGTCATTAGTGGTGTCCCACAGAGATCTACAATTGGGATTTGTTTGTTCAACGTACTCAAAAACAATCTACCACAGGAATGAATGGAAAAATGACAACGTTTTTTTGACAAAACTATGTTACTCAAAATAGCTGAGACAATGGTCAAAAGCAAAGAATTGCAGAAGAATCTCATAATACTGAATGGGCAATACAAGGACAAATAAAAGGGTACATAAAAGTTCACATAGATAAGCATGAAGTCATGCATACGAATAAAAAACAATTTTAAGTCTGTACATAAGATGGTGGGTCTGTACATAAGATAGTGTACATAAGACTAGAATGAGATCTTGAGGTTAGAACTGATAATTCTGTGAAAATACCAGTTCAAAGCCAACAGCAGATTTTCAAAAAGCCAAAATACCATTAATAATTAATAGCAAAAAATTAGACCATTAATTCTATGACATCAATATCTGAGGTACCAATACACTAAAGACTGTCATTCCCCCTATCTCAGAATGGATATAGTAGAACTAGAAGAGCTAGAGGAAATGACACAATGTTATCTAAGGTATGAAATAGCTTCCTTCTGGAGGATTATTAAAAACACATCTAGCAAGGAATTTTCAGCATGAAAAAGAAATGATAGAGAGAGGATATGATATAGAAAATCATGAGTGGTACAGAGAAAATAAATGGAAAACAGTGTAAGAAGTAGGGATTATCAAAACTAAACCACTTAGTACCAGTTTCCCAAAGGGTGGTTTTTCTTCACAAAGTGCACTGGAATTCTTAGTCACAGCGTGGTATCAATGCTAAAATAAATATATGGTTCAAAAAATGGGAAAAATATAAAACATGGATTCATAATCTTTCCACAGAAATACTACCCTATCTTAGAAAATCCCAGCTGCAAACTAGGACAATACTTGGAGGAAGCTTCTATAAGTTCTTGTCATTTTTTCTTATATTATTCCCTAGGCATTCACTGTTAGCCATTATTCAAGACATGTTACCAGGCTAGATGAACACACTGGTTGGTCCGACTTGATACAAACTTTTTTGTTCTTCACTATTGGAGGTGTCTTATGCAAACAACTGAAAATTTGGGATACAAATACTGTATTTCTCTGTCACAGTTAACAAGTTTTCCATCATCTGTACAAGGCTAAATTATGCACTGCATTCACTTTTGGTCCTTTATATTTTGGAGACATGACTAACACAAGCCAAAAATCAACGAATTACCTAAAGACAATTTTTTTTTTTTTTAATACAAATCATTTCTGTCTCTATATTCTTTGAGTACAAAGAATCCTTTTTTTCTCCTTTTTTTTTCATTAAAATAAACCTTTAAAAGTGCTTTCAATAAAGCAGCATGCAGACTACATGATACCAGTAGAAGCAAAACTGCCAGCAGTTCATATTTATTTGAACTCACAGTAAAACGATACTATGGAACAACAGTTTGTATTTTAATACTGGTCTGGTTCTTTACTAAGAATAATAAAACAAATAAAAATTTTTTTTTTACTGTCATGGTGTTTAGGTCATTAACAGGCCTTAAAGGCTCTGACCAGCCTTACCCAGGGCTCAGCCATGGACCTTCAGTCCCCCACTGCTTGTGATCCTGCCTCCTGGATGGAGCTCGATCTGCGATGTAGGTAGCTTGTCTGCTGGATGGACCCCTCAGGCATATGTTGTAGCCTTCTCTCCAGTCCTGTCTCCGGCCCTGTCTCCTTTTGCTCCTGACTGGACTCCCTGGATAGTCCCTGGACCTGGATCATCGCTTGCCATGCCTGGGGCTGTCAGAGGATCCTGCTACCAGCACTCAGCTCTGCCTGCTGGGCTCAGCTCCCGGGGATGGTGCCTGGTCAGTAAGGGAACTGCCCACGCTGGAGTCACCCTTGTCTCCCAGCTCGCCTTCCATTACTGCAGTTCCAATTATATTAGCTCCCTTTTATTGGTGGGTTTAGCTTTGAGGGTTTATGGTCAGCTAATAAGTGACTTAGATGTATTGCATAATTTTTGGAAAAAGATTGTGCAATAGTTCTAAGTACTGAAGAAGACACTAATACAAAATGCTTAGGGACTAGAAATTAAATTATCCTCAAAAATCTATGTTCATGATTAATCATTTTAAGATCGCTGACAGCACACACAAAGAAATTAATTAAATAGGATGCTGAAGAGTCCAAACCTGATATAAAGCAAGAGTGTGTCCATATCTCTGGAGTGGCCCTTTGGATACAGGTACTACGTTCCATATACTGCTTTCCAAATTGTAGCTAGAAGAGAAATAGAAAAGTAAACATTTTCTACCTGCAGAGAAATAGGGACTTTTGTATGTTTGAACTAATTTCTGTTTGGCAAAGTGTGCACACTTGATCAGTCACTGTTGTTTATCTGACATGGTAATTTGTTAGCAGTAGTAACATGGTCACGTTTAACTGTTACAAGTGTACTAACTAGTGATAGTATACTAAATGCTCATCAATAAAAACAGAAGCAGCTCTTTCAGGGACCCATCAAAAATCTCAGAAAATAGGACTGTAATAAAAATCACCAGACTTACAAGAAAGTTATGAAACTAGATTGCTAGGCTCATTGTTATCAGTCACACCAAAAAAAAAAAAAAACCACTAAACTGCTTATGCCACAGTATTTTGTACTACTTTGAAAACTTACTGCTGAGCTCCCTCTCAGCTGTATGATTGATTTTAATTTCCATTAAATTTTATTTCACAATTAATCCATTATTGGATTAAAACACAACAAGATGGAAGAGAGGTAAAAAATAAGAAGACAAAGACAGAAAAGGAAATCACCAAAGATGATGGGATTTGTTTTGGATGATTGCAAAGGTGTGGAAGAAAACAAGAGGTAGACAAAAATAGAGTAAACATGATAATAAACATATCCTAATACTCACATTTACCACATTTAGGGCCTGTACATATATACAAGTCACCATACAAACTGTCATAAATATAAAGAAGTGAAATATGGATGACCTGCCTAACCCTCCTGGCAGGGCACCAACAGGCTAAGTGCATGCATTAAATACAAGTCTCCTACAATTATAAATTAACTTCAGTAATGCAAATAGCATTCTAGATGTACTATCTGAAAACATCAGCACATGGATTTCTTACTGTTTTATCACTACAAACATTTTTATGCTTTACAGCAATGTATAGCAACAGTTTTCACAAAACTGAAGAAATTACAGATTAGTATCACTTATGGATCAATATTACCCATATTTTAACTTTTTTTAATCATAAAAAAATTACAAGCAGAAAATAACACCATTATAGAATCTAAAAACATATAAAACTTTCAGTTAGATTACAGGATAGAGTCTACCTCCCTGGTAAGATCAGTTTTCCCTAAGCCACATCAGAAGGGATCTGACAAAGGAGAAATCACTTACTTCAACACCATTTGGAATGAACTGTAGTTAAAAGTGTATCCACCAATCACCCACATAAATTTCCCATGTAGGACTGCCTTATGGGAAGCCCGGCCCACAGAAGGGCTGAATGGCTTTACGTTTGGTAGAATCCAGTAAGACTCCGTGGAAGGGACGTTCAAAGAACAATCTGGACCTGTTTTGTAAACAAATGTGCAGTTTGTACAATCTGTTAGACAGGGATGTTAAAGCCAATAAAGCAGAAACAGGGGAGGCTTAATTACAGATGTCAGGATTGCTCATTCTGATAAAATACAGTATACACTTTTACGTTTAACAGATGCTCAATGAAAAAAATTGCCGACAAGGGACGTCAGTCAAATTGAAAGCATTAGATTAGCTCAAATAATGATATATTTCTGCATTCTACTCAGAAAACATACTGTATGAGTCACAAATTGAAAAAAAGGCATGATGCATCATATTTTTAGATGCTGTTTAGGTCTAAAATGTGTAGCACAGTATACACTGCATGTTACCTCTGGAGAAAAACTATACTGCATTTGAACTAATCAGAGTAAGCTTATATCAAAGCAAATAACATTACAGTAAATTAAGTTACAATACAGATTATACTATATTAAATCTCAGGAATCAAAACTTGCCCTTTGCCAATGCCATTCTGCATTGTCTTTCAAGAGTAAAATACACTGTAAAGTGCTTTATAAAAAGAGTTATTTGAATATTTAAGTTTTATTACATTACATTAGATTATTCTACAAAGCTACCAAAACCCACAACTATATACTATTTTGGAACATATTTTAGCCAATTGTTTTTGCTAAATAAGGAAAAGTCAGCAAAATGCATCATTTTTAAGTTACATTACTATTAAAATCATGAATAGCAGAAATATTTATTTTTCATTTGTTCTGTAATAACCCAAATGTGATCTCTTCATCATTAGTTTATGCTCTAGATGTTGGAAGAACCTTAAAATCTTGTTATTTAAAACCTGAATATATTCAGAAATTTGCTTAAAAAGAAAAAAAGCATATGCACTATTTGCCTCTTGTCAGTGACTGTACATCATTACTAACTGGCTTTATTTCTGTATGGGGAACACTGAATTTTTAGGACACCAATGTGTTCCACTTAAAGCATTATCAATCACGGAATTGAAATTTTTATCATTAGTGATGGCATACAGATACTGTATGACAGCTAAATTATTTCTGTAATTTGATGCTGATACTATAGCAATGCTAGGTCCCTCTGGGCCTTAAGTGGGGCAAATCCTTCCCTCAAGCTACTGGACATTACGAAAAATCAAAGCTGTTGAAGTCAGACTGGGCATAGCCTTCTTTGGAAACTCAGTGACAATATGGTAAAAAAAAAAAAACAAAACAACAGAGCACACACAAACAAACACACACCAACAACAAACAAACACACACCAACAACAAACACACACATACCAACAACAAACACACACACACCACCAACAAAAAAATATACAAACACCAAAAAGGCAAAAAGCAAACACACAGAAAAAAAACTAGTCTGCATCCCAAATGTCACAGGTGACATCAACTTTTTAAAAAGGTTCCAGGGAAGATCTGGCCTGCTTATGTTCTTGTTTCTACCAGACAAATCAGCAGAAACTAAAAGAATGGACAAAATTAGTCAATAGATAGATAATTGCCATCTACTCATAAAAATCAGTATAGCTTTCATAAAGAGAAGGCCTGTCTTCCAAACCTATTAAAGTTCTTCGAAGATATCAAAATGGGGTGATCCAATTAATACACTGACAGGGATTTTCACAAGGCTTTTTACAAAATTCCACACCAAAGACTTTTAAGGAAACTTGACTGTTGTAGCAAGAGGATGAAGGCCTTTGCATGGCTAAATAATTGACTGTAAGATATAGTGAGAAATAGTAGACAGGAGTAAATGGCCACTTCTTAAAGGGAGGGAGGTCACCTGTGGAGTCCCACAAGGATTTCTGCTGGTATCCAAGGTATTCAACATACACATTAATGATCCTGAAAGAGGATGAGCAGTGAAGAAAGTTTGCTGATAAAGGCAATTACTGGAGGGCAGAAAGAGTAAGATCAGGTTTGAAGAACCACAGAACAAGTTCTTGTCTGACCGTGTGACTGAGCAATAAAATTACACATTAAATTCAACATAGATAAATTTAAAACTCTGTAAGCTATGTTCTCTATGTTCTAGCTTGACTAAAAAGAAAATAGTCTCTTAACTAACCATCATTAGTCAGTAGTGAAGTCTCATCTTAAGACAACTCATGATAATATCACCTCAACACTCAGCAATGGTGAAAAAACCAAATCATATGTTAGGAACAGAGTGACCCCACAATGATTTGCCTACACTTAGAAAACTGTGTGCCCTACTCAAAAAAGAAGATAGATTAGAGCTGGAGACTGTTTACAGAAAAGTCATAAGGATGTTCAAAGGAATTAAATGGCTTCTGCAGTTGGAAATACTGAGTTGGCTAGGACTTTTTCACTTGGAAAAAAAGAAAATTTGGAAGTGAATGATAAATGCCTGTAACGGGAGGCATAATGAGGGGATGTTATATTTTTCCAATGTGTATTATCATTTTTTTGGCAACTTGTTATAACTACTTCTTATACACAATGACCAGGCAAATAATCTGTACCTAACCAGTTGTCAACTTTTCTTAGTACTCTATAGAAGAATGATGTCCACTTGTATCCAAATTACCCTCCATTCGTTAAATGATGGAGACACTCAATTCCCATTGTTCATTATACCTTCTACTCAGAAAAGATTAATGGTATTTGAATGAGGTCTAATGAGAGTATGAACAATTCAGTATATTATTTCTTAAGCATTAATAATAGATACTGTTATAGAATTGTAACCTCAGCAAGATTCCGATTTGGTAAATCACTGCAGGAAACACTTAATTTGAACCTAAAAGTGCTTAAAAATAAACAATTGATTAAGTATTCTTTGATCAGGGAAGAGCTTAGAATTATGAAAACGGTGCCTCCAGTCAGAAAATGAAAACACAGTTGTGCCTTGTATTACAGCCACCGTTCTTGCACAGGCATGTAGTGGTCAACAGTGTCCCCTAGTGGCAAATAATGAATGAAACACACAAACAACTCGCACGCCAATCGATTTGAGGTTCTCATTTCTGGACACAGGAACCGCAGGAATTCATATAGCAAATTCAAAAGATATTTAGATAACGTTGACTGTAGTAAAATGAGGACAAGCAAAAACTTTGTATAAAAAGTTAACAATGCAAAAATCTTAACAATAATGTTCACCAGATCAGTGATTGAAAGAACATAGCAGATAACTTTCTTACAGCCTCAGTGCTTCATTGCTGGCCTACACTGAACAACGGGAAAGGTGAGATAGAGAGGAGAAACACCATGTATCCAGGTCTTGTTCCGGCAAGAAGGAAGGACACATTCTAAGGAGACACACCTGAACTCCAGGAGCTTGAAAGCAGCAGGTTTTCTTCAAAGAACACATCAATACCCTGTTCCTGACGCACACATGCATTAAAGTGACATCAGAAGAGGCACCCCTGGCCTCCCCTCATTGTTTACTCTTCAGCTGTCATCGCTACTGGCACCAGTTTTCGCATGGCTGCACCATGAACCAGATGAGGGAATGCATCCAGGTTAAAACTTTCTTTTATTTTTAGCTAGGCTAGCTTTTAATCTGGATGTGTTCCCTTACATGTTTCACCTTGCCCACATACACATGGTTGTGCCAACCCAAGTAAGTGCATGGCCAGGACTGCCTCTTTAGGCAGTGAAGTGAAAAGTGACACGTGAAAGTGTAAAACATTCATGGAGTTACCACAGTATGTATCAATCAGTACAAAAATGGAATTTATAGTTGAAAAGACCCAAAACAATAGAATAATACTGACTTCTGCTGAAACATCACTTAAAAGGCAAATGCTTTTGTGTGGCTATTGCCTTATAAAGGCAAGGTAAATGTAGGACTTACAAATATCATTTACAGACTTTCGTACTTAAATACGTATACCATGAAATATCACCATTATTTCAGCATAAATACATTTTCTCTTCAGAAACATCACATTCACTAAATATATGCCTTTTGTGCAACAGAGAGCACTACAGCTGCAGAACAAAGGTAATGAAAAAATCATTTTATTATTTTCTATGCAAATATGATTTTTCTCCATTTATTTAAAATTGGATTTCTTTCTTATCTTCCTAATGTGTCACTCAATCCACTGGGGGGCGGGGAGGGAAGCTTTAAAAAAAGCAAACAACTTTATAAACCTGAATTGGAAGTCAATTACGTTATCCTCAAATGTAGGAAAAAATTCTGTAGGTTTAAAAAAGCGATTTACCCACACAACACGAGAGAAGGAATCTATTTATTGAGGAATTTCATGAACTGCCAAAGTAACAATGTGTTCTAGTAGTTCAAGTTATAAGATCAATTTCCACCTAATGAGAAAACATCATCTACTGTCTTCAACCCTAATCTTTTCCTATCGGATCACAGGAAAAAAACAAAAGTATCAATGTGTTGAATATGAGTGTCACAGTCCTGTTTTTCACACAATTTAATCAAAGCATTTAAATAAAGTATTTGTTGTTATTTATTCTGTATTTGTTTGATATCTGGTCATTTGAGTTGAGAATTATTGCTTTAACATAATTTTTCAACCACCACAAATACAAACCCAATAACACTATTCTCAAGTACCCAATAAAATCTTCATATGATAATGAATTTGAGGTTATGAAAAATATATTCGAGAAAAGAGAATATATCTGAGTATGCTTTCGATAAAAATTCTATTGGAAGTTTTACCAAGCAGTAAATCACCTTTCTTACAGGAAAGAGATGAGATAGTAACTACATAAAAATACAAAGTTGTATGTAAATGAAAAGATAAATGTTGTTCAAGAATGGCTCACCAGCATTCTAATAGTAGGTGTATTCACGTATTCCTACACTGCCACTGCACAGCTCCGCAACATCCATACGGGATGTAATTATTTCCCCCCTCTTGCAAATAGTCTTGCTCCAAATGAGACTTAATGGTAGGCAGAGAGATCCTGGATAGGTCTCCAGCTAAAGCAGCATGGTAGCAAGCTGTGCCAGGACTCGGCCTCCTCCATGAATGAAATAGTCAGA